AGTTATCTTTTTATGTACTTGCATCTAGTGAATAAGATGGCAGACCTTGATTATAGCGAGAGCACTAGACACTAACTTTTTAAAGAGATATTTGGTCCCTCTGAAGCATGTTATCTGCCAAGTCATCTGCGTGTTCACACAGATCTGCACAACAGAGTATTTTTCCTTATCTAACAGTGAATCAAAAATGTATTTATCTGCATTTGACTCTGTCAGGTTCACATTAATCATCATTAAACAGTAAATTAGTAAATGTCCAGTCAGGAAATACCACTCAGCTTAGATACATTTCCTTCTTTTTTTTTTTCTTTTAACAATAGTTTATTGTCTCCTTTTTAAAATAGAAAAATGTGGGCATTTTAGTATGAATAGCCACAGATAGCCCCACCTTGGCCAGAGAAAGTAAGATAAGCAGTAAGTCAAATTTATCTTCCCTGATTTATAGTATATTTTGATCGCTGAGGCTTGGCACTTGCCCTGGGCTTGGATTCTGCTTCATTGTCTCTGCATCACACTCACATTGCTGTCTGTCATGGAGCAAATGGTTTTCCAGCACAGAGGGCTCTGAAGCATCAGTGAATTCGAATTACAGGCTTTAGAAACATTCGGCAAATTTCAACAAGTTTTGGTAGATCAGCAAGCTATTTCCAAATCGTGCCCCTTTGCAGGTCTGCAAAGCACATAACTTCCAAACTAATTTGTTTGTCCTTCCCTTCCAAGTAGCCAACCGAGCCATATGCAGACACGTAGGGCTAGACCAATGCAAATACCCTGTTTGTGCTGCCTTGGCCCAGCGAGGAGCGCGTTGGTGGAGGGAATGAAGAAGAGAGATGGTGTAGGTGTAGATGGCAGGCAGGGAGCTGAGAGGTGGGAGAAGGGCAGAGGCCGGGGGATTTGGTGGGGAACCAGACTGCAAGAGCCAGGGAGGAGGCGCAGGGGCTGTGGGCAATGGGGGGGTGGTTGTAAGGGATACAGATGGGAAGAGAGGTCGATGGGGGATTAGGACACAAATACATAGTAATCCAAAATTCTGTAAATCAGATGGTCATGGAAAAAAGGGATTTGCTTCCAGTCACTGCTAGAGATTGAACTGGATGATCTCAAGAAGTCCCTTACAATTCATATTATTTTTTTTTCAGCACCAGCCTTCCAAATAGCAACTGTTTAAGTTTACACCAGTGTGTATGACCAAAGGGTCATACTTAATCGTTATTAACTTGACTTAATCATTATAGTAACAAAAAAAGGTAGACAAAATCAAATCCCAGCATATGGGAACCCAACAGAGAGGTAATTTATTTACTGTACCCTATATAAAATATGATACAAATAAGATGAGAATTTTTGAAATCCAAATTTTTCTATTTTAAATCTTACACTTTCATTAGCATATGAGTTTCTGCAAATTCTAGAGAAAACTTCACATATATGAATTTAGGACCAAAAGCTACATACTAATTTCAAAAACAAGCAAACAAAAAAAAAACCAAAACCAAACAAACCCCAGAGATGAACCCTGTTAAAAGAACGGGCAGAAAAAATCATTTCAGAGTGGATAATAAATGCATATAGCAGATCAAGAAGCACATAAGAAGTACACGGCTGCTAGACCAGGGCTTTGATTTAACTTTAGTAGGTGGAGCCAGGAAGCAGCAATGAGGATAAAACAAACCATGTGTCCTGGAATAATTAGATAATTCTCTGACACAGCCCACACAGTTTTGGCTGGTTGAGGCCTGTTACATAGCCGGTTCCCTGTGTTCCGATGTCGTCCTCCATCCATTTCCCTCACTCCAGACTGAGTTCCTCTGCAACCACAAGCAGATGTTCTCCAGACTGAAATTCAGAACAAGAAAAAAAGCTATATCGGAAGGTTTAAATAGCTCATGGGGTCATATGGCATCTGCTGAGAACTGGCAATGCATTGGAGACCCTTTAAGAGCAGGCAAACAAGCACAAAGTAGGAAGGAGACGTTATTTTATAGATCTAAATGTACCACAGCCCGTGCTCTTAAAATATCTCAGCACATCCATGGGGAAAAAGACAGGGGAAACACCACAATTATGTGATTATTTCTCAACATGTTGTACTCTTAAAAAAGCACATCTGTCATTTGAGACGATTTATTGTGCTCTTCACTTGGAGCTGTTGTCAGTCAACAAAAGCTATTACGCTACTTTACAACTGTGTCAAATCAAAGTCTTCACAGAGTTGCCTTTTTATCCAGATTATTTTTAGTGCAGGTGTTTCGCTTACACAGAAGGAAGCAGCAATATATTGTGATCAAAGAGGACGTGAAAGTCCAGAGTGCCAACACCAGCTCTTCATCAGATGCTGGCTGACTCATTGGCTTTTAACGTGTAAAATGAGTAACTATTATTAAGGTAGCAGTTGATAAGAGCTTCTCACTGAAGTTAACAGCGTGGACAAATGCTGTCCTGATGAATACTGATGCTGACTTGGAGCCAGTTGGTTAACACCGCAGAAGCATTAGAAAATGTAAATAAAAAGCGTAGGGAATGTTATGATTTGTTAACAACAGTATTTTGTGCCTTCTCTTCTTGCTGTGGGTGAAATCACTGCAGACGTACAGGTCCCCCTGCCCGCAGCCCCACTCTGTCGCGCCTGGCCCCCCCCTCTCCGCGCTTCACACCCCCGAGGAAAGGGCGAGCAGGGCGGAGGGGGTGGCGAGCAGGACGGAGGGGGTGGCGACCGGCTGCAGGGCTGCCGGCCGGGACACACCGCGCACCCCCCGCGCCCCCGCCGCGCCCCGGCCCAGCCCGCC